AAAACTAAGGCACAAAGAAGCCGTCCTTGGCACAGGGTCACAATTTGAACCTGGACAGGGGCTCCAGAGCCCATGACACACTTCCCTCTCGTAGGATGTCCTTGTCTGTAACCCAGCGGTCCCTCCTGCCTCTGACTCCTTGGGCCAGTCCCCTGCCAGCCCCCTTCTCTCACCGCATTGCACTACCTGCCATCCCCCAACCGCCCCCAGCCTCTTTTCCTGGAAGGAGGTCTTGCTGTCCCTGTGTCCCCACTCCTGACTTGAAGGCCCTGCTCTGAACCCCTCCACCCCGTCCGTGTGGAGTGAATGCTTCTCCCGGAGCCCAGTGCCTGAGCTTCAGCTTCCCCACCTCAGACTGTTTCATTTGTTCATTCATTTGTCCAACTCTTCACTCCTTTGCTCAACAAACATTGACTGAAATTGAAATGAGCCAGTTCTACCCCTGGTACTGGGAATTCTGAGATGAATCCAGCCTGAGCTTTGTCCTTGGGGGACACAGAAAACAACAAAGAAATGGCATTTGTTACCCAGAGACCCAGAGAGATGCAGCTCTGGTGGAGACGGAAAGGCACGGGCTGCAGGGGCTTGAGCTCAGGGGTTGGGGGAAGGCTCCTAGCCTGGAGGCTTGGGAAAAGCTTCCTGGAGAAGGTTATGCTGGAGTCTGGAAAGACACGAAAGAATGAGCAAGACAGGCATTGAGAAGGGAGGCAAAGGGTACTGTGACATCAGGGACAAAGCGGTGGAAGACAGCGTGAGACACTGAGGAAGTGCACGCTGTTCCTTGCAGCTGGGTCCAGGCTGTCCTCAGGTGCGGACACGTGGCTCTGGAAACCCAACGCCCTCCCCTGACTACCTAGCCAGCTTTGGGCCCAGCAGGGCTTCCAAGAATTTAATGTCTAGAAATTTATCAGAAAAAAAACAAAACTATCAGCAATGTGGACATGGAGTTATACAGGACAGAGGATGTTTATCGCGGTGCTATTTATTACAGAAGATGAATGGAAACAGCCTCTGTGCCCAGCCATGAGAAATGGCCGCACTTGCCAAGGGACCACCACCAGCTGGAGTCATTCAAAAGGCTGAGAAGTCGGTTTCAGAGACTACTTAAAGGCACTCAACAATGCATCTGATGTAACTGCAGGTAAAAGACAGCAAAAGGCAAACCATTTTTTATTAGGAGATCTACATATGCACATAGAAGACATGTGTCAAATGCCTCACAGTGGTTCTCTCTGGTGATGGACTAACCTGGGGGGTTGTATTTCCTTTTTAAAAATAATTTCAGCCGGACCAGGTGGCTCAAGCCTGTAATCCCAACATTTTGGGAGGCCAAGGCGGACAGATCACTTGAGGCCAGGAGTTCAAGATGAGTCGGCCCACATGGCCAAACTTTGTCCCCATTAAAAATACAAAAATGAGCTGGGTGTGGTGGTGCATGCCTGTAAGCCCAGCTGCTCAGGAGGCTGAGGCAGGAGAATCACCCAGGAGGCAGAGGTTGCAGTAAGACAAGATTGCGCCACGGCACTCCAGTCTAGGCAACAGAGTGAGATCCTGTCTCAAAAAAAATTTTAAAGGGCCAGGCACTGTGGCTGACACCTGTAATCCAGCACTTAGGAAGGCCAAGGCAGGCAGATCACGAGGTCAGAAATTTGAGACCAACCTGGCCAACATGATGAAACCTCATCTCTACCAGCTGGGTATGGTGGCGCACACCTGTAATCCCACCTACTCGGGAGGCTGAGGCAGAATTACTTGAATCTCGGAGGTGGAGGTTACAGTGAGCCAAGACCACGCTACTGCGTTCCAGCCTGAGTGACAGAGTGAGACTCCATCTCAGAAAGAAAATAATAATTATATTATATATAATAATTTTATATATTATAATAATTTTATATTATATATTATATATAAAAATTATTATATATAATATATAATAATTATTATTATTTCCTTGGTCGGACACCATGGCTCATGCCTGTAATCCCAGCACTTTGGGAGGCTGAGATGGGTGGATTGCTTGAGCCCAGGAGTTCAAGACCAGCCTGGACAACATGGGGATATCTTGTCTCTACAAAAATACAAAAATTATTTGGACATGGTGGCATGTGCCTGTAGTTCCAGCGACTCGGAGGCTGAGATGGGAGGATCGCTTGCCTAGGTGACAGAGCAAGACCCTGTGTAAAGGAACCATTCCTGTGTTCTCTGATTTTGTAACGGTGGGCCAGTCTCACGTTTTCATTTTCAGAGACGGATTCTAGGAGGCAACTCCATGAGGCCACAACTTTTCTTTTCAGCCTCCTCCCAAGCGGCGCCCCCCAGCCCAGCAAAAACCCCCAGGGAGCCACCCAAAACAACCAGCGGCCCTCCCATCTCGTGCACAGTGATCCCATGTGCTTTGACTCCTGCCGTTCCTCTGAATGCCCCCTGCCTTCTCTCTCCATCTGGCACAGTTCCCCTGGCCTCCAGGCCTGCCTCAGGTCCTTCTGCTGGGGAGGTCACGCACCCTGAGCACCCTCGCCACTGAACATCACGGACGCCCAGACACCTGCCTGGATGCTGAGCTGCTGGGGAAGGACCTGTCTTACCTACCTCTTCCCCAGGAGCTTTATGGGGCCCAGGATTTAGTTCTATTTGTTTCTGGCCTCCAGTGTCTTATTTTGAAAATGTCCAAACCAGACAATAGTGCAATGAACGCCCTTCACTTAGACGTGCCATAATTTGCCTTTTCTCTCTCTGTCTTGCTGAACTAGTGCACGCGTCTGAACACTTACTTGGCCAGGGCTGGGGATTTGGAAGGTGCTGCATGCCTGCTGGAATGAACGCAAGGAAGAGCAAGGACACGGCGCTGCTCCCCTCTGCCTTCGGACCCAGTGGATAACCTTGCACAGCAGAGCGCTGGCCTTTCTAAAACGCTAACACAGAGGAGCTGCCCACCTACTTGGAGGCTGGCTGCCAACAGTCAGCACAGCCCCTCTGCAGACACGGAAGGCCCCATCACCCCTTCCTGCCTCATCACTCCGAGCCCTGGAAGACAGCCTCACACCCACCTGCGCCCCCCCACGTGCTGCTGGACTTGGGCCGTGGAACCTCTGTCCTCCCTGCTCACCCAGGGGGGGCACACGTCCCTTCCGTGTCCCTTGCAAATGTCACATCCTCAGAGAAGTGGAGGGCTCCCCTGATGTTTCTTCTACCCCTTGGCACCAAGGGCAGCCTCTGTGGGGGTACCCACTCATCCTGGTCTGCCCGGGACTGCCCAGTTTGAGCACTGGAAGTCCAGTGTCCTGGAACACCTCAGGCCTGGGCAAACCAAGAGGACTGGTCACCCTGGCTTCTGTTGACTCTCACCGGGTGGGCAGGCTGTGTTCACACGGCCACTGCCGGGAGACAGCAGCCTGGGAGCCACCCCGGGCAGGGGCTGGGCTGCTATCTCTACCTCCCCAACCCTGCCAAGGCCAGGCCACAGAACAGGCCCAAGGATAGGCTTGCTGATGCTGGCTGACTGCCTGGAGGAGAGAAGAAATGAACGAGTGGGCAGGGCCAGGCGCAGCGGCTCACGCCTGTAATCCCAGCACTTTAGGAGGAGGCCGAGGCAAGTGGATCATTTGAGGCCAGGAGTTTGAAACCAGCCTGACCAACATGATGAAACCCGTCTCTACTAAAAACACAAAATTAGCTGGTGTGGTGGAGGGCACATATAGTCCCAGTTACTCAGGAGGCTGAGGCAGGAGAGTCCCTTGAACCCGGAAGGAGGAGACAGCCGTCAGCCAAGATCACACTGCTGCTGCACTCCAGCCTGGGCAACAGAGCAAGACTCTGTCTCAAAATACAAAAAAAAAAAAAAAAAAAAAAAAAAAAAAAAAAAAAAAAAAAAAAAAAAAAAAAAAAAAAAAAAAAAAAAAAAAAAAAAAAAAGAGAGAGAAAAGAAAAAGAAATGAACAAGTAGACAAAGGGTAACCTTGCCTCCTTCAAATCTGCTCATATGTCTCCTCCTCCATGAGGCCTTCACTGACTGCCGTCTCAGCCGAGAGCCTCTCCACTCCCTGCCCTCACTTTCCAGGCTTCCCTAGCATGTATCACTAGTGACATTCTCCATGTCATTTGCCCACTTTCACTAGGGTCTGTCTCTTTGTCTAGAGTGTCACTTCCACATGGGCAGAGGTTTTTAATCTGTTTTGCTCACTGAGGTATTTCTAGTGCTTAGAATAATAGCTGTTGGGTAAGAATTTGTTGAATGAATGAATGAATCCTTGCTTTCCTGCAAAAGGTGGAGTCTCCTGGCCCGCTTCTCACACATTTGGTCTTTTGTTTAATTTGTTCAACAGACATCAGTGCCAGAGCTCTGCATCACTGTGTATGCATGTGTGTGTATGCGCCTGTGTTTGTGTTTGTGTGTGTGTACAAAGCAGAGTGCACAATCTGATGGCAGGAGGGGCAGAGTACAGGGTAAGGACTCAAAGAGCCATCATGCCTGGTTGTATGTAAAGCCAAGGACCTGGCATTTGGGGGCAGGGTCTCTGGGGCAGGACCCTGACCTCTTGCAACAGCCCTAAAAGAAAGACCAGATTGGCTGGGCACGGTGGCTCATGCCTGTAATCCAAACACTTTGGGAGGCCAAGACGGGTGGATCATCTGAGTTTGGGAGTTTGAGACCAGCCTGACCAACATAGAGAAATCCCGTCTCTACTAAAAATATAAAATTAGCCAGCTGTGGTGGCGCATGCCTGTAATCCCAGCTACTCGGGAGGCTGAGGCAGGAGAATCGCTTGAACCTGGGAGGCGGAGGTTGCGGTGAGCTGAGATCACACTATTGCACTCCAGCCTGGGCAACAAGAGCCAAAACTCCGTCTCAAAAAAAGAAAAAAAGAAAAGAAAGCCTGAATTGTAATAACCGTGGCCAACATATATTGAAAACTTGCTATGTCCCAGGCACTGTTCTGTGTGCTTTACATGTATTTTCTCAGTGAATTCTCAAATCTCTGATGTGTAATTGTTGTCTCCCTTCTGCAGAGGGGGCTGGGGAGTCTGAGTGACTTTCTTAGGGGACCACAGCAAGGAAGTGGGAGTCACAGACTCTGGAGGCTGCTGCTAACCCTGGTGCTGGAGACTCCGTTTGCAAAGGAGGAAGGAGGATCAGAGAGGTGAAGTCATTTGCCCAGGGTCACAGAGGTGGTCAGAGGCAGGGCTGAGATTCACTGCAGTTCCAGAACACCAGAGGAGGCTGAGGTCCCACTCGGTGGCCACCCTGGAAGAGGTGACAATGGTAACTGAAGGGAGGAGGACAGAGACCCAGGGCCAGGCAGGAGCTGTGCTTGAATGCAAAACAGCTGCCCAGAACTGGGGACAAAAGGGACCAGGTCTGGCTGGGGAGATAGGAACCAACTTCTCAGCAAAGCTGCCCTTGCTTCCTCTTCTCTCCTGATAAATGGCCGCAGAAGCCGTGGACCACCCGTCTGCAGGCCTCCACGTGGGCTGGCCACCATGCTCTGGCCCTGGAGAGGAGCAGAAATAGGGGGAGGGCAGCGCCCCCTGTCCCGGGCCCCTCCTCCCATGCTCCCAGCAATGTCGGCCTGACTTACCTGGTGATACTAAGTGCGTATTCTGTGTCAGGAGCTGCGCTGTGCAACTCAAGACGCTCTGACTTCCTTCTTACACCCAACAAGTTCAGACAGGGAAACAGAGATCAGGCAGTGAAGCTGCCACCCAAGCCACCAGCAGAGGGGGGATACTAGCCCCGACAATCTGGCTCCAGAGCCTGTGCCTCTACCCCCCACCCAGGATGCAGGGCCCTGGCTCCCTGCCAAGATCCTGTGCAGTCCCTCACAGCGGACACCACCCATGGCGTTCTGCAGCCCAGGAAAGGGCTCAGCACAGGCAGGCTCAGCTGAAAACAATCCTTGCTCTTGGAAATATGGGAACAGCAATTTCTTCCTTTGGCTGTTTCTCCCTCTGCCCAAGTCTGGACCCCCTACCCACTAGCAGTCATTCCCCATTTTCCAGAACCCCTATCTACAACCCTAGGCAACCACATTCTGTCTCTATGATAGATTTGCCTGTTGTAGACATTTCACACAAATAGATTCACACAATATGTGGTCTGTGGTCTTTGTGACAGGCTCCTTTCACTTACCGTAACGTTCTCAAGGTTCATCCACATTGTAGCATAGATCACTATTTTATTCCTTTTTATAGCCAATAATATCCATATTATAGCTGTCGGTTCATCACACTGAAAGACATTCAGGCCGGGCGTGATGGCTTACACCTGCAATCCCAATCCTTTGGGAGGCTGAGGTGGTTGGATCGCTTGAGGCCAGGAGTTTGAGACCTGCCTGGGACACATAGTGAGACCCTGTCTCTACAAAACACAAAATGAAAAAGATGAGTTAGGTGTTGTGGTGCATGTGTGGAGCAGCCTTTAGTCCTAGCTAATGCGGAGGCTGAGCTGGAAGGATCACTTGAGCCTGAGGATTCAAGGCTGCAGTGAGCCATGATCGAGCTACTGCACTCCAGCCTGGGTGACAGAGCAAACACACACACACACACACAAAGGAAGAAAGAAACGAAGACATTCAGGACCATGAGGCTGTTTTCAAGCTTTGGCTATTAGGAATAATGCTGCTGTTGACATTTGTATAAGTCTATGCGTAGACATATGTTTTTAATTCTCTCAATTGTATATCTAGGAGTGGAATTTCTGGGTCAAATGACAATACTATATTTAAACTTTTGAGAATATGCCAGATTGTTTTCCAAGGTGACTGCACCATCTTACATTCCCACCAGCAGTGCATGGGGATTGCAATTTCTCTATATTCTCACCGACACCTGTTCTTATTTGTCTTTTTAATTTTAGCCATCCTGCGAATGTGAAGTGGTATCTCATTGTGGTTTTGATCTGTATCTCTCTGATAGCCAATGATATTAAGCACCCTTCATTTGCTGATTGGCTATTCATACATCTTTTTTTGGAGAAACATATGTTTAGATCCTATTGCCATTTTTAAAATTTAGTTACCAGGCATGGTGGCTCACGCCTGTAATCCCAGCACTTTGAGAGGCTGAGGTGGGCAGATCATGAGGTCAGGGGATTGAGACCATTCTGGCCAACATGGTGAAACCCCATCTCTACCAAAACTGCAAAAATTAGCTGGGTGTGGTGGTATGTGCCTGTAATTCCAGCTGCTTGGGAGGCTGAGGCACAAGAATCGCTTGGACCCAGGAGGCAAAGGTTGCAGTGAGCTGAGATAGTGCCACTACACTCCAGCCTGGCGACCCTGGAAGCAGAGCAAGACTCCGTATCAAAAAAAAAATTAGATTTTTTTGTTGTTGAGACAGTGTCTTACTGTGTTGCCCAGGCAGGAGTGCAGTGGTCGTATCTCGTCTCAATGCAACCTCCACTTCCCAGGCTCAGGTGATCCTCCCACCCAAGCCTCCTGAGTAGCTGAAGCTACAGGCACCAGGCAAATACCACCACGTCCAGCTAGTTTTTGTATTTTTTGTAGAGACAGGGTCTCTCCATGTTGCCCAGACTGGTCTTAAACTCCTGGACTCAAGCAATCCTCCTGCCTCAGCCTCCCAAAGTGCTGGGATTACAGGTGTGAGCCACTGTGCCCAACCAAAGCTTGATTGTGTCTTTATTTTTAAGTCGTTGGAAGTAGGATTTGGAGCCAGGTCTGGCCCCTGCTTTACTGTCAGACAGTGGACCCTGCACACACCCCCATGGCATGCGCCCCGCCTCCAGCGACATCTTGAAGCCCCTGCAGACTTGGCCCCGTTCTGGGCAGGTGGAAGAGCAAGTCCTGCTGGGGCCTGGCCGACAAAAAGCGCCCAGTGAATGTCTACAGATGGACAGCAGACAACTGTATCTCCAGGAACGGGTAAGCCAAAGGGGAAGAAAAAACACACAGACCAAGAAGCCCGTGCCCCAGGAGGAGGAAACTGCTGAGGCCCGGCTCCAGGAGGTAGAGATAAGCTCTCGGCTCGGCGAGAGGCCACCAGGCAACTGCCTCTCGCGTCCTTGGTGGCAGCAATCTATCTGGCCTGTTTTTACGTGACTGACTATTGGCCTGTCTGAGGCTGGGAAGGAGAGGCCAGGGAGATTAGCGGGGAACCCGTGAGCCTATCTAAGAGGCTGTAAGGAAGGCATCTGGTCAGAGGTGGGCAGGGACCCGGTGGGGTATATCCCTGCCCACCTCTGGCCCCAGAAACTCACTGCTTCATCACCAAGGGCACCTGCCTGTTGAACACCCAGCTCTGACTACCTGGGTTCGATCGCAGTCCTATCATCTCCTTACTGTGTGACCATGGATAAGTTACTCCCCATCTCTGAGCCTCGGTTCACTCACAGCCTCACCTGTAGAATGGAGACAACCAGAGTGAGGATGAAATGAGACCCTAAGCCTGTGTCTTGGTGAGGCCAGGTTGCCGGTAGGAAGCTACAGAAAGGCGGGCTCACCCACAGGGCATCCCCAGGCCCCATCCCCTGTCACTCTCCCGAGACTGCCTGAGACCAGCCACTGCAGGAAGGAGCACCTCAGCCCGGTGCTGTGAGAGTGTGGCTGCCGGTGGAGGCAGCTCCAAGAGCCTGCGTGGTAAAGACAGGCTAGGGGGTGGCAGGGAGTGCCAGGGCAGCCTCTGACTCAGGCAGCCTGGGATTAGTGTCCCACGCTATCCTTTACTAGCTGTGAACCTTGGGCAAGCACTTGGCCTCTCTGTGCCTCAGTTGCCCTTTGGAAGATTGAGATGACAGTCGTGATTACTTCATGGGGTGGCTGTGAAGATTAAAGGGGTTAATAGAGGTAAAATGTCAGTTAAAATCCCAGCCCTAAAATAGAGCCCAGAGCACCTTCTGAACCTGTTTAACTTCTTTGGACCCCAGATTTTCCCATGTTCCCCCAGATTCTTCCAGCTGGACTATATGGAGGACGGGGAGGTGTTCGACTATCCTGGCGTTTTCCACAGTGGATTCCACAGACTTCTAACTCACGGGATGCTCTAGGAAAATAAAAAAGGGCACCACTGTCACGTAGGCCTGGGTGCTGATGTAGACCCAGCCACTTCCTGGAAATGCATGTGCGTGCGCGCGCGTGCACACGCACGCACACACACACACACACACCCTGCGTGCACATACACATGAAAGGTTCTCAAAACCCTGCAGAGAAGACCCTGTGGATGTTTGCATTGTTATTTCTCAAATTCATTTGACGACAAACACTCTTTTCTGTCCAAGGTCAGTTTAACATCCTCCTGGAAAACACTGATGGTCAAGGTCATTTCTATCTTGCAGCTTCCGTGAATCACAGAAAAGATGGGAAAATTTGCTAAAAATTGTCTTCATCGCCTAGGAGAAGCATCTTTCTGTTTTTAAAACCCTCTCACACTCACCACCGTGAAGGCTTCATGGCCCTGGCGGGTGCTGTCAGCCCTGCGCAGGGATCAGAGAGGGTCAGAGTGGGAAGGCCACCCCAAGGACACTTTACGTCCACGGCTGCCCCGCCAGGACCGGCCCAGGTCTCTTTCCACCCTGTGCAGCTGCCTCTGGCTCTCCCAGACCAGAAAGAACACCCAGAAGGTTGTTGGGACAGAAGGTGGTATCTTCGAGGAGCCTTCTAGAAAAAGGAGTTGCCAAAAAGAAGAATGCCAGCCCCACCTCAGGCAAGGGAAACGTCAGAGGATCAGGAGTCCCCTGGGGGCAACTGCTGAGTAGGCCCTGTGACCCTGAGCCTAATTAATTGGGAAAGTTCCCCATTCAAGTAGCCCCTCACATCTCCCTGTAAACATTCTAGCAAATCTAACATCCAGCAACCAGATGACATCTCCCAGACAGTGGCCTCTTGAACACAGGACAAGGGCCAGAATTCTTCCTTAGGCCCTGTGAGGTTTGGAAAATGAGCTGGATCAGCTAGTCGGTGGAGGAGAGTGACATTTATTGAGCACCAATGCTATGTCATGCACTGTGTAAGAAGCTCCATCTGTACGGTGAGATCTCAATTAATTCTGATAATAATCCCACTTCACAGATGGGAGAAACTGAGGTTCTTGGTGGTAGATTAACATGTCCAGGGAGGCATCAGGGCTGGAATTCAAGCTCCAAGACTGGGTTTAGCTCCCCAACCTCAATGCTCCCGGTTCCACTGGCTGAGATCTCCACCACACACCCCAAGGCCCATGCCATACCTCACCCCAGTCCAGGCCTCTTCCCATTCCTAAGCCAGGTTCTCAGGGCCTCAAATATGAGGGGAATTGGATGGGGGGGCTAATGTGGTCTTGTCACTCAATGTCCTGGAGAATCCAGCTGTTTCAGCCACTAGTATTCTGATCGTCTGTTCAGGGGAGGCGGGTAGAGAAATCCGTTTTCTGGGTATGCTAAGCTACAGGCCATGCCTAAGTCTTTGTCCGAAGGCTGTGGTCATTTGTGGCTGCCCTCAGGTACAACCTCCTGCCCAGCATCCTGCCCAGCTCACTGACCTTCCAGGATCCTAGCATTTAGGCTGGGGGCATGTGGAGGGGATGGGGACCCACCATACAAACCTCTGCAAAACCCCCATTCCTCTCCTTGATGATCTGCCCCTGGGGATGTTCTCCCAAGCTGAGACTTCCCAGAATTTCTGGGTCAGCAAACAGAGTGGCTGAGTGGCTGAGGGCAGGGGCCCAGCCCCCAACTCCTCTCCTGGGAGGCCCCTCCCCTGTGCTGCTGCACGTCCTCCTGCCCAGCCTCAGAAGCAGACACTGGAGAGGAGAGAGAGCCACGTGCCAGCACCAAGCCCTCCAAGCTTTCCCGCCACACCACCCATCTTCAAGCCATCTGAGAGGCAGGCAGGCTTTCTTTCCTCCATCCCTTGCAGCGGATCCAGGTCACAGAGAGGGGCAGCTACTTGCCCAAGGCCACACAGAGAGACAGTGGTGGGCATTGCTTAGGATGAGGGAGTGCTCAGGTTCAGGCACAGAGCCTGGGGTGCAGGAAAGTTGGTTCCAGCTCCTCCCCCGCCCCACCACGCACGGCAGGGGGCATCGCCTTCCCCACCCTTGCAGGTTCACAGGCACCAGGCCTCTCGTGGTATATCCCCAATCCCTTGATGGCACCTACAGCACCCTAGGCAAGCTAACCCCTGCCCACTTCTCCCCCCTCTTTGCCCTCTGAGGAGCAGGATTTCTTCCTCCAACCCTGGCAGCAGATGCAGGTTAGAGAGGGGCAGCTACTTGCACAAGGCCACACAGCGAGGCAGCAGTGGGCATCACACCTGGGTCTGGCTGGCTCCGGAGTTGGGGTTCCTTCTCCCAGTCCAGTGCAGTGGCCAGGGGTGTGGGATCTGGAGCCTGAGCTCCCCAGCTTCCCCCACAGCCCAAGCCCATCCTGCCTCCAGGCTTTTGCACTCGCCATTCCCTCCTCCTGCCCTGCCCCACCCTTCCCATCACTCGGGTTCTGCTCAGCTTTGCCTCCTCAGAGGCTCTCCCCAGCTACCCCTCCTGAAATGCCCCTGCTCCCTATTCTGTCTCTTGCCCCTGATTATTTGCTTCATGGCATTAACCATTGCCTGAAATTGTTGGTTTTTTTTTTTTTTACAATAAACTTTCTTTAGGGAATAATTTTAGAAATTATTTTGCAACAGAAAAATTACAAAGATCATACAGGGAGTTCCTGTCGGCCCTTCACCCAGTTTTTTCTTATGTCAGCCTATTACCTAACCATGGTAAGTGGTCGAAACCAAGAAAGTGACGTTGGTGCATTACCGTGATGAGCTGCAGGCTTTCCTCCGATGAAACTGTTCTTCCTTCCTCAATTGTTCTCAGCTGCCTCCCCCACGAGGAGGCAAACTGAAAGGCAGGGAGGTTGCCTCTCCCACTGACATCAATTTCCTCACACCTGGCAAGGAGTGCTGATTGGATAAAGGAGGGAAAAGAATGGCAAAAATAGCCAATGACTATCAAGGGCTCCTGCCAGACACTGCTCCTAAGTGCTTTAAACATTGTCAAGTCCCAGCCTGGGCAACATAGTAAGACCCCATGTCCACAAAAAATTTAAAATAAGCCAGGCATGGGGGCACATTCCTGTAGTCCCAGCTACCAGGGAGGCTGAGATGGGAGGACTGCGTGAGCCTGGGAGGTCAAGGCTGCTGTGAGCTGTGATCACACCACTGCACTCCAGCCTGAGCAACAGAGAACTCATCTCAACAAAAACAAAAACAAAAACAAATGAAATCCAATCACATTGTAAGCTTTTTAATCCTCACAACAGCCCATGAGGCAGCTACGAATCATGGGGAAACTCAGGCACGGTATGGTTTGATGCCATCCCAAGGCCACAGGGATGGCAGTACCAGAGTGTGTGGGCTCCAGCAACCACTCCTGCCTAGCACAACACACTGACGGCCCCACACGGTAACACAGCAAATGCCGGTCCCTCCACGTTCTCAGTCCACGGCACAGTGGAAGGGCCACACCTCCTACAGCCCAGCAGGAGCACAGGCTTGGGACGGAGCCTGATTCTGGCTTCCACCCACAGTGACTAGTGGCCATCCTGGCCCTACCCAGAAGGACACAGGGGTTCTGTTCCGAGGGCCCTCAGCCTCACCCTTCTTCAGGGAAACAGAAGGGGGCTGGTTCGGCCCCAGACCACGGGTTCCCGCCTGTGCTCCTGATTCCCCAGACCCTGCAGGCACAAAGCAGGCCTGAGACCTCCCCCCAACCCCCCTTGGCCCACAGCTTAGACTGAGCCTCTAGGATCTGGCTGCTGGGGGCCAGGTGCAGAGGATGGCCCCTCTCCTGAGGTCCAGCGTTCTCAGAGGAGCTTTCTGGGCTCTGGAACAGGGAGGAAGAGGAAGCTATGGTGTCCCTTTCCGGCTGTGGAGGAGTGACACAAAGGAGTACGGCAGCCTTTTCCCAGCACCCAGGGACCAGGCCAGAGAGATGTCTCAGTGCCTCCCAAGGGAAAAGCCATTCTCCAGCAGCTGGACAGGACCAGAGCCTGCCCTGCATGTCCGGCCAGGGCCCTACCCAGAGCCAGCCTGGCGCAGCCTCGGTCCCTAATTATGTTTGCTGGATGCCTTGCATACAAGCACCGGTGCCCAGAATCTCCTTGAGGTTTCAGCCGGGCGTGCCAGGCCCATCCCCCATTCTGGGGAGCAGAGTAAGTATGGGGGGTGGTGACAGGGGACACCATGAGGTGGTGGCGGCCTTGGTGAGACAGGCAGGCAGAGCTGGGGGTGGGGGCCGCCCTGGGCTCGGCTAATTAAACAGCGACCGTGGTGATGAATCGGGAGAGGCTGCTGCTCGCTAATTAAAGGTGCAGGCAACTTGTCTGGCAAGGATGGGAGGCAGAAGTCCTGGAACCATGTCGAGGGCCAGGCCGGCAAGGACAGAGCTTGGCCAAAGCCCCCCACCGTGCCCATTCTAGGCATCCCTCCCATTGCCCTCCCCCGCCCGGCAGAGCCGCCCCCCAGCCCCCTCCCCACTTCCCTATCTCTCTGGCCCACCTTGAGGAGCCTGGGGCCTCCGACTTCCCCCCACCCCTCCCCACCAACCCAAATCCTTTCCTGATAAGGGCCAGGGTGCTGCGGAGGAGGAGGCTGGCGCTGGCGGCTGGGCTGGGAGTGGACTCGCTCACTGAGCCTTTGAGGTCCTCCTTCCCGCCCCCCCCCCCCCCCCCCCCCCCCCCCCCCCCCCCCCCCCCCCCCCCCCCCCCCCCCCCCCCCCCC